CAAAGGAAGTCAGTCATCCGCCTCTTTGCTGCTCCTGTCAGTAAGCCAGCCCTTGTCTTGCTTTCTGCTGCTCCTTGTTTGCAGACACTGATGCCTGCCCCGGGCAAGTTAAGAATATGGAGTATCTTCTGGGCCATTAGGTCTTCTACCCATGAGAGTCTGAACCCCAGGGTGGGGGATTCAGGATAGGAGAACCTTGGGATTGTCTGGGTACCAGGACATTCTCTCTTCCCTAGGACCACACGATTTGCCTCATTCCCTGACTACCTGGTCATCCAGATCAAGAAGTTCACCTTCGGCTTAGACTGGGTGCCCAAGAAACTGGGTATGATGGCTGGGACAAGCAAGGGAGGTCAAGCAGAAAATGCTAGAAAAAGAAGGGGCCTTAACACATGTAAACTAATGTTTCTCTAACTTCCCTCTGGAAGAAGAAAACATTACCCTAGATGTTTCAAAATATGTCTAGTTTGAAAGGCACTGACTAAAAATATTAAAAGACTTCTTTGATTTCTTAAAATATATTGATTTTAGAGAGAGAGAGGAAGGGAGAGAGAGAAACATCAATTTGTTGTTCCACTTATTATGCATTCATTGGTTGCTCCTGGGGATTGAACCCACAACCTTGGCGTATGGGGATGACGCTCTAACCAGCTGAGCTACCTGGCCAGGGCCAAGGCTTCTTTGATTTTATAATTATGATTTACAACCAAAAGTGATTTTCATAGTTTTATTTTTATAATTGTTTAGATGTTTTCATTTTGATAATCTGGAAATAATGAGTTCTCATGGGCCCCTGCTGACTTTGAGAACTGATTTAACTTCATTTCCTAGATAAGTTGAAACCCACAGTATAAAATCATTCTGTCCCACAAATTGGAGGCTCCCTTCCTTGCCCATAGCTCATTGTGGTAGATCTAGGACTAGAATCCAGGTCTCCTGACTCCCAGGCCTACAATTTTTATTATACTGGGACCCCTAAGATTGGTACTTTCTGAACAGCTCTTTATTACAGAGCAGTACCGAGATATGGTACAGGAGCTTGAGATTACCAAAGTGCTTTTTCAGGGAAGGCCTCAGGGAGCTCCTGAGGTGACCTTTTCCTGCCATTCCAATTACAGATGTGTCCATTGAGATGCCAGACGAGCTAGACATCTCCCAGTTGAGGGGTACAGGGCTGCAGCCTGGAGAGGAGGAGCTGCCTGACATTGCCCCACCCCTAGTCACTCCGGATGAGCCCAAAGGTAGCCTTGGTTTCTATGGCAACGAAGACGAAGACTCCTTCTGCTCCCCTCACTTCTCCTCTCCGACATGTTAGTGATTCTTTTTCCTGCCTCTCTCTCTCCCTTGCTGATGGGGGTCTTCTCTGCCTGCCTCCCCACGATCCTGTTCTTTGTGTTTCTCCTGTCCTCCCTTTCAAATTTCCTCTGCCGTCTTTTGGTGGACTGAGGACCGACTGAAGCACTCCCAGCCACATTCTCTGTGTGGATGGCAGCAGCATGGGCTAATTGCCTCTCTGCCCTTGTCACCTCATTGGTTAGGGACGGGTGCTGGGTATCGTATTCCAGAAACAGGGCCCATTCTGTGAGGATGGACAAGGAAGGGGATCCATGGGATCTTTAGCCTCGGTTCTGTGCCTTTAGGATACTGGCCCCACGTTGTGTTGTCTGTCGTTTCAGTTCTGGGATAAGGTGCCAGGCTGTGGAAGGAAAATGCATGGAATGGAATGGTTGAGAGAGAGCTGGGGGGCTAGACTGTGGGGAGGAGATGGAACAAATAGTGGCTCAGGGAATCAGTTACTGTGCCCACACTTCTCCCACCACAGCCCCCATGTTGGATGAGTCGGTTATCATCCAGCTGGTGGAGATGGGCTTCCCTATGGATGCCTGCCGCAAAGCTGTCTACTACACGGGCAACAGTGGGGCCGAGGCTGCCATGAACTGGGTCATGTCGCACATGGATGATCCAGGTAGGCAAGGGTGGGTTGCAGGGCCAGGCAGGGCCGCCATCCTCCCCTAAACACTTCAACCCCTCTCATTCACAGATTTTGCAAACCCCCTCATCCTGCCTGGCTCCAGCGGGCCTGGCTCCACAAGTGCAGCTGCGGACCCCCCACCAGAGGACTGCGTGACCACCATTGTCTCCATGGGCTTCTCCCGGGACCAGGCCCTCAAAGCTCTGCGGGCCACGGTAGGGGCTGCCCCCAACTCAGGACTAGGGCCCTCTGGGGTAGAAGGGGGTGGGAGTAAGTAAGGTTCCATCCTTCGGAAGCAAGACCAAGGACAGCGGTGTGGTATGGCTAGGGCTGGGCTCCACCCTTTTGGGGCTGTGATGAAGGAGCTGAGGCTTTCTCTGGTGGTTTTCTTGCCCCTAAACTTGTTGGAAATGTAATGCTTTCCTCCTCTCCAAGAACAACAGTTTAGAACGGGCTGTGGACTGGATCTTCAGTCACATTGACGACCTAGATGCAGAAGCTGCCATGGACATCTCGGAGGGCCGCTCAGCTGCTGACTCCATCTCCGAGTCTGTGCCAGTGGGACCTAAAGTCCGGGATGGTTCTGGAAGTGAGTGTCCCGGGGAAAGAGGACAGGCCCGGGAAGACTAGCCAGTCTGCTACCCCAGATACTCATTCCAAGGCAGCTCTGCTTCCCTTAGGAGGCAGAGGGGGCAGAAGCTTTTTTCCAGTGACCTGACTCTTGAAGGTTCTAGGAGACAGAGATAGACTTTTGACCCAATAGATGCCTACATTCCCTGAGTTTGAGCTGTTAGATATATCTTTGGACTGCCACTCAAAGATCCCTTTCTCATTGTCTCCTCTGCCCTCCCCCCCTCCTTCCCTAGAGTATCAGCTCTTTGCCTTCATTAGTCACATGGGCACCTCCACCATGTGTGGTCACTACGTCTGCCACATCAAGAAGGAAGGCAGGTGAGGGACCAGCGGTGTGCATTTGGAATGGGGGAGTGGTGGTGGAAACGAGTAGGGGCATCCTGGAAATCCTTAGAATATGTGTAGAGAAGCTGAAGGTCTGCCTGATGGGAGCCACAAATACACCAGGGATGAGAGAATGCCTGACAGCAAAGATCAGACAGACTACAGCCCGAGGGCTGGATCAGGCCACTTAAGATTTAATGAGCTCAGCCACACTTACTCATTTATGTGGTCTGTGGCTGTTTTCACACTGCAACAGGAATTGAATAGTTATATCAGAGACCCCATGGCCTACCAAACAATCTGGCTGTTTACAGAAAAACTCTGCTGACCCTCGCCTTACGGAAGTGGGTGGGGGCATGGCTGTAAAGATGCTGGAGGATCTGAAGAGACTGAGTAGGGGAAATGACCTTTGTGAGATTGGGGTGCTCCCTTCAGACAGGGAGCAGCTGGATTGTAGGTTTGGGGGCCTTTCCCCAGAATCACCACAATTGACTCGAGGCTGGGTCAGAAACCTAGCTGAAGCGTGACAGACTGCCCTGTTCAACCTTTTCCGCCCTCCCCACCTTCCCCAGATGGGTGATCTACAATGACCAGAAAGTGTGTGCCTCTGAGAAGCCGCCCAAGGACCTGGGCTACATCTACTTCTACCAGAGAGTGGCCAGTTAAGAGACTGTCCTGATCCCTTACCACGGAGGGCAGGGGACAGACCACCTGGCATGAGGGAGAGGGGCTGGGGGATGGACTACAGACTGCCTGCTCTACACCCTTTTCCTTTTTTGTCCCCTGCAGCAGGGAAGAAGCTAGGAGAATGGCTGAGCAGAGTGGAGGGGAACACAAGAGACTTTGGGGATAGAGCAGGAAGGGGACGGGAGGGTGACTGCCTGTCTATGAGGAGACTATGTTGCTTCCCCTCCCCCTGAAGCCCCATTCCTCTGCTTCTCTACTCCTGCCAGCACCTAGTGTGGAGGGGGCTTGTGTGTGTGTGTGTGTGTGCGCGTGTGCGTGTCGCTTTGTGCAGCCTCTTCCACAGGAGGGGGTGTCCCTGCTCCCCTCCCCCTTTGTGTTTGCTCCCTGTGTGGTCAGGCCAGGAGGGATATGAGGGAAATGGGGATCCCCTCGCCTTCCTGCCCCAGTCTTTCCCCCATCCTGTCTCTTCCCTGTCCTTCTCTGGAAAATGCCAAAATACATGATGTGAATAAAAGTACAATGGTTAAATTGTGTCCTGTTTGATACCTTAGGAGGCCAGTATCCAAAAACTCCCAGCTCTGCCCCTTCTGTAGGCAATTTCCTACTTTTCAGTAGTTTTGGAGCTCCTGGGAAATTGAGGGTGAGGTGAGTGCTAGGGGCTATCAGATCAGGGGAACTAGAGAGGGGTGACATAGAGCAAAGATAGGGGCAAAAAGCCCTTCCTTTCAGCAGTGACACACACTTCCACCAGGGGGCCCAAGTGGATATTCCCAAATGTCCCTGGTGACTAGGGAGCCCTGGGCCTAGGCTCTAGGCCCTGCAGTCTTTCCTTAGGCCTTGGCCAACTGGAGCAAGGAGTGGGATACTCCTGGGGGAGGGGTACTGAACTTCCTCTTTCTTAGCTGTACAGTTTCTGTGCCAGTGTGGGCGGGCCCTCTCCCTCTGAGTCCTGTCTCTTGTCCAATACCTGGGCTATACTTTCCCTGCGATGGTCAAAGGTACCTGCTCAGCAAACACGTATGTGGCTACTTGGATGGAGGGAGGTCCTTTCCCCAGAATTGGAGAGATGCCCCTCAGAGCCCCCTCAACCCCCTGGGTAATGTAGTCTAGGCCAAGCAGTTGGAGTGGTCGGACATGCCAGCTAGTTCCAGTGGGAACCCCTCCTGACCCCCTGGAGGGCTGTAGTCTTTGAAGTGAGGGTCCTCCGAGCGCAGGGGTTCATAGTTCTCGCTTTCCCCGGAGTCAGGCAACGGAGGCTGAAGTGACTGAGCCCCATACGCCTAGAACGTTGCTACAAGAAAGGGGGTAACGTCAGAACTTTGCCACAAGGGGCAGGGCGGGACGGGGAGGGGGAAGGACTTGTCAAGCAGGGGCCGGGCTAACCATGGCAGAGGAGGCGGAGTTCTGTCTCACCGCGCTCTATATAAGCGGGCAGTGGCCGCGACTGCGCGGTGATCCTGACCTTCAGTGTGTTGGCTCCAGCGCCATGGCGCCCTCCAGGAAGTTTTTTGTGGGGGGGAACTGGAAGATGAATGGGAGGAAGACGAATCTAGGGGAACTCATCTGCACCCTGAACGCGGCCAAGGTGCCGGCCGACACCGGTGAGCCTCGCTGGGATGGCGTAGGGCTGGGGAGGGCAGGGCGGGCGGGGCAGCGCCCTCTCTGGAGCTACAAGGCGTCCGCGTGGACCTGGGTGCACCGCTGAGGACGAGGGCTCCTGGGGATCCGGACATTGACCCCGCAGCGCCGCGGCCCCGCAGCCGCAGTACGGGGGGGTGCGGTTCGAGGGGGGAAATCGGGGCCACATTTAATGGTGCCCTCGGACAGTGGGGCAGGAAAGGACTTTTTGGGTCTTCGGGAGGAAGATTGCCCTGGGGCGCGGACGGGGCTGCACCGCCCGGGGCCTGGGAGCGGAGGCTAGCCCCAGGGGGAGACCTGGAGAGGCTGGGGACAGCGGGGAGGTGGGGGATCCCGGGGAGTGGAGGCGGCTGAGTGGGCGTGCGTGCCTCCAGCTACCCGACCCCTTGGCCCTGCTCCGTGCGCCGCCGCACGTAGCCCTAGACTCCTCCCCGCGCCTTGCGGAGCAGGCCGAGTGCCCCCAGGCGCGCTGCTTCGGCTTCCGGAGCTCCCCGCTTTGATCCTTTACCGTCTGCAGCCTGGATAAGTCCTGCCTTCTACAGAAAGGGGCTGAGCAGGTGTCAAACAGGCTGAGCCATCTGGGAATGAGGAGCGATCCTACGGCTGTCTCCAGCCTGGAACCGGAAAAGCGCAGGGCTTCTATGAGCTGGTCAGCTCTCTGCTTACCCCCCGGCGGAGCGCTGTCCTCAGCCCTTCCCATCCACCTAATTCACAGAACCACGGGCCTGATCAGAAGAGGCATCTCTTTCTGGTTTATTCCCTAAAGACCCCAGTACCAACCCAGAGGTGGCCCCTTCTGCTTTTGCTAAAAATCCTTGCCTTGCCTTGCCTGTGGGAGCTATTTTAGAAGGGAGGCTGGGTTGGCCCCCAGAAAATGCTGAGTCTAGGAGGTGCCCAGGCCCAGAATAGCCCGGGGAAATCAGAGCCACAGCTGTTAAAAGAGCAGAGGGTAGGGCCAGGGCCTCAGGGGCACCCAAAAGGTTCTAGGAATTGGAAACAAGCCCAACCTGGGATCTGGTCAAAGATCATCTTGCTGGGGTGAAAGGGAAGGAAAGCAGAACTAAGAAAGTTGGTGAAGGCTGGGGGGTTCTAGAGCACTGAATGGAGGGAGTCTGGAGAATGAAGACTTCCTTGTGATTTCATCCTCAGAGGTGGTTTGTGCACCCCCCACCGCCTACATCGACTTTGCCAGGCAGAAGCTAGATCCTAAGATTGCTGTGGCTGCCCAGAACTGCTACAAAGTGACTAATGGGGCCTTTACTGGGGAGATCAGGTGAGATGCAGGTGGGAGAGGGGTGTGTGGGGACCTTTCCCTTACTTTCCTCATTGAGTGGAAAGCCACAGGTGGGCTCCCTGTTAAACTGTGGCTTCATCTCTTCCTATAGCCCTGGAATGATCAAAGACTGTGGAGCCACATGGGTCGTCCTGGGGCACTCGGAGAGAAGGCACGTCTTTGGGGAATCAGATGAGGTTAGTAACCAGGAGAAGAGATAAGAGATACCTTATTCCAAGAGTGGTGTCTCACCAAGTTTGTTCCTCAACAGCTAATTGGGCAGAAAGTGGCCCATGCCCTGGCCGAGGGACTTGGAGTGATCGCCTGCATTGGGGAGAAGCTAGATGAGAGGGAAGCTGGCATCACTGAGAAGGTCGTTTTTGAACAAACCAAGGTTATCGCAGGTATCTCTGAAGGGACCTATGAGCCTAGCCAAGGCCATGGAGGCACAGGGGGTGGGGTCAGATGCCCTGCAGCCTGATTTTATCCCCATGCTGATACTGGAAAGGAAAGGGGGAGCCCGGCTGGGCGTGGCTCAGCAGTTGAGTATCCATCTAGGATCCAGGGGAGATTGCGATTTGATTCCCAGTCAGGGCACATGCCCGGGTTGCGAGCTCGATCCCCACTTGGTGGCTTGCAGATCAATGGCAACTCTCTCATCATTGATGTTTCTATCTCTCTTTCTCCCTCTCCCTTCCTCTCTCCGAAATCAATAACGATATATTTAAAAAAAAAAAAAAGAAAGAAAGGAAAGGGTGAGGTGGGAATCCTTGCGTCCATCCTCTCACTTCTGCTGCTGCCCCATGGTATTGATGCTGCTTGGGGTTCCTTAAAGAGCCACCAGGGGGCAGCAGTCCGCCCTCTCTATGCCATTGGTACCAAGCTGGATAGCTCCTTCCTGTTCACCCTGCTGTGATCTCTGTCCCGCAGATAACGTGAAGGACTGGAACAAGGTTGTTCTGGCCTATGAACCTGTGTGGGCCATTGGTACAGGCAAGACTGCAACACCTCAACAGGTAACCAAGCCCAGGAGCCCCGCCCTCATCCTACCCTGCCTGGGTAGAACAGCACAGCACAGAGACCATCTGGGCCAACCCCTCATTTTAAAGACAGGAGCCCCCAACACCAGAGAAGGAGAATGATTTGTCCAAGGACATCCATTCCAGGGCCTGCAGGGTGTGTGTGTGTGTGTGTGTGTGTGTGTGTGTGTGCGTGTGCGCGCACGCCCTGGTGTTCTGACTGAGATCCCAGGGCTTCTGGGATTCCCTGAAACCACACTGCCTCTCCACTGATACCCAGGGTTTTTTCCCCTTTGAGGGAAAGGCAGAAAGGCTTAACTTAGTCTGGCTTCTTGTTCTAGGCCCAGGAAGTACATGAAAAGCTCCGGGGATGGCTTAAGTCCAATGTGTCTGATGCAGTGGCTCAGAGCACCCGCATCATTTATGGAGGTGAGTGGGTTTGGCTCCAGCCTGAGGTGGGGTGGACTGAGAACTAGACTCTGCCTCCTTAGACATGGAGGTGAGAATGGAGTATGCCCATCCCATTCCTGATCATTTGCCCTCTCTTCTCCCTTCCCAGGTTCTGTGACTGGGGCAAACTGCAAGGAGCTGGCAACCCAGCCTGATGTGGATGGCTTCCTTGTGGGTGGTGCGTCCCTCAAGCCTGAATTTGTGGACATCATCAATGCCAAACAATAAGCTCCATCCATCTTCCCTACCCTTCCTGCTATGCCAAGAACTACAAAGCCCAGAAGTCCAATAACTACGCCCCCCCACCCCCACACATGCTTCTGGTGGTATCACCTGCCTCTTCTCGTGGCCTAATCCAAACTGTACCTCTCCTTTACCATTTACACCATACCTGTTAATGGTTGGGGCAATCCCTTCTCCACTTACTATAATAATTGGAACAAAACATCACCAAGGTGACTTCTCCTTGGCTGAGAGGTAGAAGGGGTAGAGTTTGCTCATGGGGTCCCCTCAGTTCCCAGTGAAGGCAGGAAAGAGAAGCCTCCCTCCTCTCCCATCTCATACCATGGGGCCAAGGGCTGGGAGAGAGCCCTGTCCTTCCCTGAGGCCAGGGGTGCTGTTCTCACCCCTAGTGCCAACGCCTGTGTGTGTTGTGTTTGTGAGCAGTCCCACTTGGGGGTGGGAATAAACACCTGGCACTAAGCCTTGTGGTTTGTCCTTCATTGTACTTGTTTCCACATAATTTCTCTTTCCTTTTTGAGGCAGCCACAGATTCTTGTGCAAAAAATGCCACAAACAGGTTTTTATAATAGCATATCTCTTATTATTTTTACTTGTGTACCAGAGTGCCACAGCCTTGAATAACAGCTCACTCTCTTTACCCCTTGGGTCGCTCTGGGGTTGTTGAGCTCCCCAGAGCTTGGGCTGGGGGTAGGGTACCAGCCTCAATGGCTTTAAGTAACTGGTCTAAGCCAGCAGTGCCTCCTTCCCTGCTCCCGGGCAGGGGTGGCATCAAGGCCCTGCAATCTGGTATCACAGGGTCACTGGTAGAGCACGTAGCGCTTCATGGCAGGGGGCAAGGGCAGAGCAGATACCTGGCCCAGCCGGGTAGCCCCCAGCGTCTGGCGTACACACAGTCGGCTCAGGTGCAAAAGGGAGTGTGGCTCCGCTGGGAGAGAGAAGGAGGGGAAGGTAAGTAGAGGTGCAGCCACCAGCTAGACATCCTCAAACTACAGAGTTCCCTTCCACTCTCCTGCTCTGAGTCTGTTCCTACCTTGGTTGAGAGATCTAACACACCCTGAAGTTCTGCATCTGCTCTTAGGGTGGGAGGCATCACACACACAGTCAGAGCTGGGGGTGAAGCTCTAGCTAAGGCCCTCTAAGCAACAGGCCAAGGTGGCTCTGACATGGGTGGAGCTGGCCCAGGCTTTGATTCTAGAGAGGCCTTGGGAATGGGGCTGATGAGGTAAAAGGAAGGATAGTCCTCCACTCAACAGCTCACCATGGGTGATGGAAGGAGAGGTACCCAGCCTCTGCTAAGACTACAACTGCAGAGAACAGTTAAGTTCAATCAGCTCCAAACTGAGGTCCCATTGGCTCCCCAAGGAGGCCTTTCCCCTATAGCCCCACCCCAAACCCTGTCTCTACTGCTGTCCTGGGGGGGAAGGGGGACTGAATGGCTCCCTCCTGGGGTTTGACTGAGGAAGTAGGTATGTGTGTCACAGGTCAGAGCCCAGGGAATCTGGTATACACCCTGGGTGCATGGCACTGCCTGTTGTCTTTTGTAATTGTACACATAGCCCAGTACTCATTTAACCCTTTGCACCTGTGCTCCAGGAGCTGCTAACCCCCTGTAGAGCCCTAATCCCTGGAGTACCTCCCTCCGTTCTGGGGGCTCACCACTTAATAGCAAGTTGCATACCCAAGCCTCACCTTTACCTCTATTGCTGTTGGGAGTATTAAATTAGGTAACAGCTGTGAAGAACATCCCTGGCACTAAATAAGGGGGAGGGAGGCAGGTCAGATAAAGGCTCCGTCCCTCTACTCTTGTAAAGGCATTGAGTTTCCAACCCAACCCACAGCCTCCAGTGATAGAACACTCTCCCGCACCTACCCCAGGCCTCACCTCTCCTTTCGCCCAGGTAGCTGATGCGGACCTGGCACTGGCCCCAGACAGCGCTTACTGCTGGGTAGAGGGTCCTGCCTTTCAGTCCGCGGAAGGCTGGCCCCAGGTAGGTGCCCCCAATAGCGTAGCCCAGAGTTCCCTCCTCCATGTCCAGAACCACCAGCAGCCTCTCCGGCACCTCCAGCTGCTCACCCTGAGGTCCAGCTGGATATTGGGGGGCCCCGGGCCCCTGGCTCTGATGGTACAGCTTCCCCCGCCCAATGTCCCAGCCCCAGGACTCGCTGTTGCTGCCTAGAAGCGCCGCGTAGTGGTCAGCCTGCAGGGGGGCGAGGGCCGTGGCCACACCCACCACCGCGTGGGTGCCCCTCTGTTCCGGGGGCCAGCAGATTTCCCAGGCGTGCAGGCCCCTCGAGTAGCCCCTCTTACCCCGGGCCCCATCAGTGCTCTGGGCCACGGGCCGCCGCTCAAAGCACAATCCCCCTTCCTTGACCTCGATGTTCTCGGAGCAGTCCTTGGGGTTCCAGCCGTGGCGCCGCTGAGTTCCCAGGTCAGGAGGGGGAGCAGAGAGCAGTTCCTCCAAGCCTTCGGGACAAGAGTGGTCAGGGCACAGGGCCTGCGGGGTGCGGGGGCTGCTGCCGCCCCCTGCCAGGGCCGTCTGGCCCATGGAGGTGAGGAGCTGGAGGATCCCCCGAAAGAGTCTTGCCGGGGCGTCTCTCTACCGCAAGTCGTGCTCCCGTCCGGGACTGACCTGGAGAGGAGTTGGGAGAGAAGAGACTGTAAAGTGCGGGGCGCCCATCCTTCCACCCGTCTGCCCACTGCCCCGCTCCTCCCTCTTCGCTCCCCCAAAGCTCCTCGGCCCATCACCTTACCCTCACCCATCTGTCCCGGCCTCCCGAGACTCTGGGGAGCTCGCCCCCTTCGGGCCTCTCCAGGGGCCGTCCCCCTCGCCCGCCCC